TTGAATCAATATCAAATTACTAAATGTCCAATTACTACTGAAAAAAAGAAAAATTATGGTAGATTGGTCAAGGGGTTAAAACACAAGCTTCATTCAACTATAGTATAGTTCTTCAAAAAACAGATAAATCTAAAGTTTTTCATTTAGGTAAATTACAAGATTATCACAAAAAATCTGATGAATATATGGAAAAAACTTAAGCATATAAATGTTTACACCAGAATGATCCATTACCAAGTTTAATTGACCGGACAAATAAATATTTACTAAATTTAAGATTAAGTAATTGGATTACACAAAAACAATATGAACAGTTAAGCATTAAATCAAATGAAGTGGAATTAACTCATCTTTATTATCTACCAAAAGCTCAAAAACCTGGTACTCCACTTCATCCAATTATTTCTGGTCTAAAACATCCAACTAAAAAAATATCAAAATTTCTCGACGAATTACTTCGACCATTATTTAATAAAATGGCATCAAATACAACTGTTACTTGTGGTACTGAAGTTATTAAACAATTGCATGAATGGTCAAAACGAGACATACGTCAAGAAACCTTAATATGTACAATGGATGTTATGGATCTTTATACGATGATATCCCAAACAGAAGGTATAATGTCAATTAAAAAACTATTAGATTATTTTAAAATAAAAAAAATTGGTAATATAAAAGCTGAAGCAATAATTAGATTATGTCGATTTGTAATACAAAATAATTATTTTTCTTACAATGGTAAATATTTTCATCAAGTACGTGGTGGTGCTATGGGTTCTCCATTAACATTAACAATTGCTAATTGCTATATGTACTTTTATGAACGAGATATTGTTAAACAAGTGAACAATAGCAATGGACTCTACTTACGATATATTGATGATATTTTCATAATTATTAATTGGCCGATTCAACATCTTTCTAAACAAATTAATCGATGGAATGAATTAGACTTGAATATAAAATTAAAAGCTCAAGTTGATCATTCAACAAATTTTCTTGACTTATACATAGAAAATAAAAATGGTGAATTATTTACAAAAGTTTATCACAAACCATCGTATGAACCATATTATTTACCATTTAATAGTGTTCATCCAATACATATGAAACTGAATATTTCATATGCTATGTTAATTCGTGCGATTAAATATTGTTCAACGTTTGAAACATATTTAAATGAACGTGAAAAATTAAGAATGACTTTATTATTAAATAAATATCCTGGTGAATTTATAGAGAAGCAAATCCGTCGGGTATTTCAAAAACATAATTTAATAGAACCATTATCGACAAGCAATTATAAAACATCACGAGAAAAATTAATTTATTTAGATAAAAAAGAAAAAATTCCAATTGATTATGGCAAAACAATGTTCATTCATTTTACATACTGTTTAAATATGAAAACATTTCCGGCTAAATTTCATGCACTTTGGGACAAATACTTTATAGAGTCTCCAATAAATGAAATAAAAC